TCAATATATCCTCGAGCCCTTGTAGCACTTTAGGATCTTCACAGAGTATCATCCTTGGGTTGGACTCTTTGAATTGCTTCGTGTTTTAGAGCGTTGACTTGTTCCTGAGCGAACAGGTTGATTTTGGACAGAAGTAACTGAATATGATTCAGGGTTAGAGGGACATTCTCTTCGGAAATGTCCAGGTTCACCACAAATTAGACATAATTTATAAAGATTCAAACTTCCGAGTGTTTCCCCTTGGGGAGCACCCGTTCTGTTTGTCAAAAAGAAAGACGGTTCGATGAGACTCTGCATTGATTATCGTCAACTGAACAAAGTCACAATCAAAAATCGATATCCTTTACCTCGTATGGATGACTTATTTGATCAGCTTAGAGGATCCACTGTATTCTCTAAGATTGACTTATGGTCAGGATACCATCAAATCCCTGTAAAGAAAGAGGACATCCCAAAGACTGTGTTCCGTACTCGTTATGGTCATTATGAATTCACCGTAATGCCCTTTGGTTTGACCAATGCTCCAGCAGTATTCATGGATTTCATGAATAGTGTATTCCGACCTTATCTTGATCAACTCGTGGTTGTATTCATCGATGATATTCTTGTCTATTCGAAGAATCGAGAAGACCATGCGAAAAATTTGGAGATAGTACTCAGTGTACTACGAGAACATAAACTGTATGCCAAACTGTCAAAGTGTGAATTCTGGCTTGATGAAGTTACGTTTTTGGGACATGTGATTTCTAAAGAAGGTGTTAAAGTAGACCCCAGTAAAATATCTACCATCACCGAGTGGAAGGTTCCAAGGAATGTTCGTGAAGTGAGAAGCTTTCTAGGATTAGCTGGATACTATCCACGATTTGTTGAAGGCTTTTCCTCGATCGCAACTCCACTTAACAAACTTTTATGAAAAGATGTGAAATTCGTATGGACCGATGCTTGTCAGCAAAACTTTGAGAAACTAAAGAAATGTCTGATAGAAGCACCTGTACTGACACAACCAATACCAGGTGTAGACTACACGATCTTTAGTGACACATCTCATAATGGCTTGGGATTTGTACTCATGCAAGACGAAAAAGTCGTGGCATACGCATCAAGACAGTTGAAGCCTCACGAATGTAACTATCCTACTCACGATCTTGAGTTAGCAACAATTGTATTTGCTCTGAAGATATGACATCATTATCTCTTTGGAGAGACGACATATATTCACACAGACCACAAAAGATTGAAATATCTTGCTAACTCAAAAAGAATTGAACCTGAGACAGAGAAGATGGTTGGAATTGATCAAAGACTACAACTGTTACATCGACTATCACCCTGGTAAGGCTAACGTAGTAGCTGACGCACTAAGCCGAAAGATGATAGCCGAACTCCGAATCCAGCCTACTCTTGAGAACGAAATTCACGCTGCACAAAAACGTGACGACTAATGTTTGAAGACTTGTGAACTTGTCTCTAAGGGGGAGAGACAAGATTTCACTCTGAATGATGCAGTTTTATTCTACAAGAATCGTTTGCTAGTTCCTAGTGGCGAAGTGAGGGAACGTTTAATGCGTGAATCTCACGAAACCACTTATACCATGCATCCTGGTAGTAATAAAATGTTCCAAGATCTGCAGAAGATATATTGGTGGCCCACAATGAAGCGGGAAATTTCTGAATTTACAACACGATGTCTGACGTGTCAACAAGTCAAGGCTGAACACCAAGTACCAAGTGGGTTGTTACATCCACCTACTATCCCTGAATGGAAGTGGGAACGAATTACGATGGAATTTGTGATCGGACTTCCATTATCAGCTAAGAAAAATGACGCTGTCTGGGTAATTGTTGATCGATTAACCAAGTCATCTCATTTTATCCCAATTCGACATGATATGTCTTTGAAAAAATTGGCAGAATTGTACATCCGTGAGATCGTAAGATTACATGGTATACCTTTTTCTATCATTTCTGATTGTGACCCGCGATTCACGTCGCAATTCTAGAAGATTTTAACTTTAGTACGACATTTCATCCTCAAACTAACGGACAATCTGAAAGGACAATTCAAATTTTGGAAGATATGATGAGGGCATGTGTAATAGATTTTGGAAGCAACTGGGAACAATACTTACCATTAATGGAATTCGCTTATAACAATAGTTATCAAGCGAGTATCCAAATGGCCCCGTATGAAGGTCTGTATGGGAGACGTTGTAGAACCCCAGTATGCTGGACAGAATTGAGCGAACAAAAGCTTGAAGGACCCGACCTTGTTCGAGAAACTGAAGAAAAGGTCCGTTTGATCAGAGAAAGGCTACAAGTGGCTTCTGACCGACAGAAATCTTATGCCGACTTGAAACGTCGTGAGATCGAATACAATGTTGATGACAAAGTGTTTCTGAAAGTCTCACTGTGGAAGAAAGTGTTACGTTTCGGTAGGAAGGGAAAACTAAGTCCGAGATATATTGGACCCTATCGAATCACTGAACGTGTGGGTCCAGTAGCCTATCGGTTAGAACTTCCGCCAGAACTGAACAAAATCCATGATGTATTCCATGTGTCAATGTTGAAAAGATATCATTCCCACCCATCACATATCTTGACTGAAGGAATCGTAACTCTTGACGAACAATTGACTTATGAGGAGGAACCTGTACAAATTCTAGTACGAGAAGTCAAACAATTGAGAAACAAACTCGTACCTCTAGTCAAGGTACTATGGAGAAATCACTCGACTTAAGAAGCAACATGGGAAACTGAAGAGTCAATAAGAACACAATATCCGAACCTCTTCAATCAATGACTCAGGTAATTTCGAGGACGAAATTATTTTAATGGGGAGAGAAATGTAACGCTCCGAAATTAGGCCTATCAGAATTAATTAATTGAGAATTAATTAATTACTGAGAAGAACCCAAAAATAAGTGATTTATAAAGTTTGTCAATAAATAATGAAAATTATATCATTATGTAGAGTTAGACTATCTGATCCCAACAACTCAATCGGATTTCAATTTGGAGAAAGTTAGACCAAAAAGTGTACCCGAACTGGGACCAAAATTAGTCCCAATCAGGGACTACACACCAAACGGCGCCCTGTTCAATTACACCGATTCCAAATTCGTCGCTCAATCACGGAAGCTGCAAACCTGTGTCTTCTTCTTCTTCTCTGGGCTATTTAAGGACAACCCAACTCCCTCATTTCATCACCAAAACAACTCATTCTTCCTTCTATATTGTTCCTTGTTGAGAGTAGAGTGCAGTGGTGCTGTCATCTTTGTGTGAGGTGGCCGGAGCAATGAGGTAGAGTCGTCGAAAGTTTCGCCGGAAAATCTTAAAAACCTCCCTTACGCTTTAAGGTAAGCCCGTAGATATATCTAAAGACTAGAATGTTCATGTAGGTTGTTTTTACGTTCATAAATAGTCGCTTGGTTGAGTTTTGTGTTTGACATGTTTGATGAACCAAGAATCATAAACCTTGAATTTGATGTTAAAAATATGTTTTAATGATTCTAAAATGATCTATGAACCTGGGAGAACAATTCTATATAATTTAATTGAAGTTTGGTGATTAAAAATGATAATACTCGAAACTGACCAGAGGAAGAAGATGATGAACAGTGGACGAAAATCGATTATTTACTTCCTAAGAATCGATTAGAATTATGTCCAGATGAGTATGTTCGAAGTCAGTATATAATCGATTATTTTAAATATAAAAATCGATTTAAAAAGTATTAATCGATTATTTTAAAACTACAAATCGATTTTTAGCAATTAATTGATTATTTAAAATATAACAATCAATTTTTAGCAGTTAATTGATTATTTAAAATATAAAAAAATATTTTTAGCATATAATTGACTATTTAAAATATAAAAATCTATTTTTAGCAATTAATTGATAATTTAAAATATAAAAATATATTTTTATATATTAATGGATTGTTTTAAATATAAAAATCGATTTTTAGGTATTAATTGATTATTTTAAAATAAAAATCGATTTTCCTCAAGTGCAGGTCCTGTTCTGAAAATATTACTGAAAATATGCTCTAAAATCCTATTTTTGATACCAATTGATTATGATCATTATAAAAATGATTTTTCATAACGAAAATGATGTTTTTAACAAATTAAAACATTATGTGATGCATGACGGTAAGTTTGGGTGTTAACACTCGAGACTAGGCTGCTAATTGTTATTAAACGTTATGTTGTATGATCATTATGGTGAATATTTATTATGGATAATTATGA